ACTAGCTCCTTAGTGCTAGGTCAGGTTCCTGGAAGCCCGAGGCAAAAGAACATGTGAGGCTTACCTGGCCAGAACCCCTAATGACAAAGAATAACAATAAATCAGTCATACCCTGTGACCTGGAAATGACAGGCTGCTGTGTGGGTGTGTGCAGGGTGGGAGCTGCCAGGTTACCAGGTACCATTAAGAAGGAAAAGAAGAAACTGGTAGCTATCGGGGATACAAAGCAACAGGTGTTAATGTTTATTTTGCACTTTTTCTTTGTCTTTGTTATTTCTGTGCAGAGCTAAATATCAATCCTGGGGCCTTGTGCATGATCAGCAAGCAAGTACGTGCTCAGGTGATACCTTTTTAATATCAGACACTCTAGTGGTAGTTGATATGCAAGCAATAAAAATGAGCAATAAGAGAAAGACATTGGTGGCTCATGTTTGTAATCATATCAGAAGGCTAAGATCTGAGGATCACAGTTCAAAGTCATTGTGGGCAGAAAAGTCCATGCAACTCTTAATTCTAGCAAAAAGCTGGAAGTAGAACTGTGGCTCAATTGGGAAGGGCCAGCCTTGAGTGAAAAAACTCAAAGACAGAGCCTAGGCCCTGAGTTCATGCCCCAGTATGGGCAGAAAAAAATAATTAAATGAAATGAGCAATGAGGAAAAAAACTAGCAAAGATCATGAATGTAAAGAGAACAGGCATACATGACAGGCAGTTTACGTTTTCACTGAGAACTACTACACATAAGTGAGCCTGCAGGTGTGTTGGCTGTTGGTGTACTTTGGGTTTATGGCCAGCAGTGAGTGTACAGATAAAGTCTATTAGTACATTACTTATTCGTTCTGTCCCCAACTTTGCAATTAGGGCACTAGAAAACACAACAAGCTGTTCACTTTTTCTTTGTTAAATACAGAAAGTTTAGCTTGTTTAGAAAAACTTGGTGTATTTGGTGTGGGGGGGAGGATTAGGTGGGGGAATGGGGGGAGGATGGGAAGGGATGGAAAGGGGAAACAAAGGAGGAGACTACAATGCTTGATAAGAAATGTACTCATTATCTTGCCCATGTAATTGTAACCCCTCTGTACCATATTTTCACAATAAAAAAAAAAAGAAAGAAAAACTTGGTATAGGTTTGATAATGGTGTATTATTACTGTATTTTTTCTTGGTGGTGTAAGGGGACTAGTAATAGTCTAGACTAGTAATAGTCCCCTAGTTTTAACAGACTTACTGAACATCTATTTTGAACTCAACTTTCTGTAAGAGTAGAGAGTCAGTTAGGGAAAAACAAACACTATTTTATAAAACCCAAAGTTAGAACCTTTCAGCACTCGGTGATAAACCCTTAAAAAAGTGTAAAGTAAGGTTAGAGGTTGCTGAGAGCTGTATTTTGGACTGTGATGAGGAAAGTTTATGTGCTCATACAGCTGCTAACAATGCCCTGTTAGAAAAGCATTAGCAACTTGGAGAGCCAGATGTTAAATGTGGTCATTGTTAAAAGTTAAATTATGCTTGGCACTGTTGGCTCACGCCTGTAATCCTAGCTACTCGGGAGGCTGAGATCTGAGAATCATGGTTCCAAGCAAGCTCTGGCAGGAAAGCCTGTGAGACTCTTATCTCCAATAAACCACCAGGAAACCAGAAGTGGCGCTGTGGCTCAAGTGGTAGAGTGCTCACCTTGAGCTGAAGAGCTGAGGGACAGCGCCCAGGCCTAGAGTTCAAGCCCTATGACTGACTGACAAAAAAAAAAAAAAGTTAAATTAGAATGAATCAAGAGTAAACACATTACACTAAAAATATAAATACTTAAAAATAAATACTTAAACTCAGCATTTTTCATTTCCCTTACGACCTGTTATTAGTAACTATACTCATTAAGTTACAGTCATGTGTTGCTTAATGATGGGGTTACATTCTAAGAAATACATCCTTGGCCATATTCATGATTGTAAAACATCACAGCATTGGCTCACACAAATTTAGGTGACACAGCCTACCATGCTCCTGGACTATGTGTGTGTGTGTGTGTGTATATATATATATATACATATATATATATATATATATATAAAGTGTGTGTGTGTGTGTGTGTGTGTGTATTTTTCAGAGTATCGGTAGCAAATACAAGTCAGGGTTATTTCAGAAATTCAGTTGCTAAATATGTACCAACACTCAACAAAAGAAAGGCCTTCCTGATGAACTCCCAATTGAGCCAAACCTGAATTAAATGTGGACATTTATCATCAGAATATTTGGTAGAAAGAAACACATGCCAAGACCTTGGACCAGCACTTGCTTCACATATCCAAGGCTCAGCCCAGACACCAGCAGAGCTGATTATAGGGAGGGATGGAGACAATTGGCAAGCAGTCAGGTCAGGGGACACATTTTGAAGTCAGATTTTGAAGCCTATGTAAGGTATAAAATTAATCCAAGTACATCTCGAAACCAAGGAAGGATTGCAAATGGTATAGCAGAGGCTGCTGAGGGGGAGAAGCCACAAGATGGAGGCCTTCTGATCTTGGGGTGAGAGTGTGGGGCACAGCACCCTCTCACTCACCTGGTCAGGAAACATGAAAAAGAAGCACATCTTTTATCCACAAGGTTTTGAAACTCAATGATGAAATGTATGGCTTTAGCTTGACTTAGTGTATCCTGACTAATATGGAATGTCAAGCCCGTAAGCCTTTCCTAACAACAGCTTACGTTTGTGGAGCACTTATTCTGCCAGAGACTACACTAAACACTTTGCATTCCTCATACAAGCCCCACATTGCCCTCTAAGAGGTGGATGCAATTATTACCTCCATTCTAGAAATAAGGAAATGGAAGCCCACAGAGATTAAAGGAACTTCCTAACCACAGAGGCTAAAAGAGTTTCCTAACCACAGAGATTAAATGAGTTTCCTAGAGTCTCCTATGAAAACGTTAGAATCAAGATCCAGACCCAGGCAAATAACTCTGGCGTCTCCACTGTTCCTATGTGAGAAAAGAACCAAGGGCCACCTGTTCCTTTTTCTTTCAGCCATTTATTGGGCATCTAGAGTGTTTAGCTCTCTGTACGTAGAAATAAAGAAGACCGAATTCCTTTCCTCCAATAGAGGAGAGACCATAAAGAGAAATCTGTAATGCAATGAAGATACAGGAAATATAGGAGGAAGAAAGACAGGCTGAAGGATACCACAGATATAACCAGCAAAAAACCAGCCTAGAGGAAAGTGACCCAGTATCTTCAATAATAAGTTAAAATGGTTAAACAAAAAAGAGGTCCCCAAATACTTATCAGCCAGTAGGAAGATTCTGTGGCTCCTGATCAAGAAAACTGTACTTTTAAATAACTTAATACTCAATAGATATTTAGAAATTTGAATGAAGTGGATATTTTATAATAATAATGATTAGCTTTAATTTTATAAGGTTTAAGTGAGATGATTGGTGGGTATTTTCAAAGACTTTGCATTTCATGACAAAATATCTGCAGACAGAATAATAATATATCATGTCTGGAGCCTTCTCACAAAGTTATTCAGGATGAGAAATGAGTAGATGAAGCAAGTTTGGAGATGTGTCAGCCAATGGGGAGTGCCCTGATCATTACCATGGATCAATTTTATTTTTGTTTTTGTTTCCTAATTTTTTCAATTTTATTTGATTGGAAGGGTGATGTTATATAACATAACTGTAACATTACCGAACAGTTACCCCCTCCCTCATTTTCTCTCACTTTCCCTCCCCTCCTCAATCAATTTTAGTAAATATTTGACTTATTGTCATTAAAAGCTGTAGAGGAACTACTCCTGGGCTGAACATAAAGGGACTGATGAATTGATGTCCAGGAGGTTGGAAAAGTTGGGGAATTTCCAAGGAAACTAGAACATCCATGTGAGTAAGTTCCCTGGCAGCAGAAGAGCATACACATCAAGTTATTCCAAGTATCACCCCACATTATCCATGGGAAATGATTCATACTTAATTTTTAATTTCCAGTTACTACTCCCCTAGGAAACAAACTATCAGAGTCCACGAAGCTTTCTTCTATGGACGTGTGTAGAGATGGGCTTAGTGGATTAGAGGATTGAACCATCCAGTTATTATTATTATTTTTGGCGTGTGTGTGTGTTCTTTCAGTCCACTAACACATGCAAGATTCATCCATGACACTGTATGTAGCCGTGGTTCATTTGCGTCACTGTGTGGCTATACCATAATTTAAATGACTCGGTGTGAACACACCTACCTATCCATGCTCTTGTTGAGAGTCATTTGGGCTGCGTTGAGTCGGGGGCTTTTTATAAATAATGCTTCCCTAAACAAGCGCGTGTTTTTGCGCCCTCGGGTGCACAGATGGACACAGCTGGCCTAGAAGTCATTCAGTGTGCGATGTGAGGCAGGGATGGAGTTTCTTTTTCCTTTCTTTTTTCTGCGTGGAAATCCAGTGGGCTCAGCCCTGAGGACCGAATTCCTCCCCTGGGCTCCTTAGCGCTACCTGCTACCTCTGAAATGCACTGGCCCATTCACTTCCACCCAACTACTTATCTTAATCCTGACCCTGGATTCTTCCTTTTAAAGATGTGTTTCCCCCTCTGTCGTTCTTAACCCTCTGGATTTTTAACCGCTCGGTGTACACATCCTGGGAGCTCCGCGCAGCGCGCGGGCCTGCTGTGGGAAGCCTATGAAGAGCTGTTGCTCCAGTGGGAAATCCTGGGACCTGGGAGGTGACGGCGAAGACGTTCTCCGTGCCCCGGTGCCACCCGAGTGGGAGAGGCCTGCCAGAGCAGGCGGTGTCCCCGCCGCCCTCGCCACGCCCCGCCGCCCTCGCCACGCCCCGCCGCCCTCGCCACGCCCCTCACCCCTCGCCACGCCCCGCCGCCTCGCCACGCCCCTCCGCCTCGCCACGCCCCTCCGCCCTCGCCACGCCCCTCCGCCCTCGCCACGCCCCTCCCCGTCTTCCTCCGCCTCCCGCCCCCGCCCCTCCGGAAGGGCGAGCGCCCGGCATCCTGGCCTTGGCAGCGGCAGCTACAGGATGGCAGCGGAGGCTGCGGCGACCCCCGCCCCGGGAGGCTCCGGCCCCGGCATGGACGCCCGGCTGGACAGGGAGACGGCGCAGTGGCTGCGCTGGGACCAGGTGAGGGGCGACCGCGGGCTGGGAGCGCGCCGAGGACGCAGCTGCCCCCAGCTCCCCTCTCCAGCCCTCCCCGGGCGCGCTCCCCGGCCCTCCCCGAACCCCTCCCGGCCCCCCGGCGTCCCCTCCAGCTTCCCGGGCTGCCCTCCCCGGCGCCCCCTCCCGCTTCCCGGGCTGCCCTCCCCGGCGCCCCCTCCCGCTTCCCGGGCTGCCCTCCCCGGCGCCCCCTCCCGCTTCCCGGGCTGCCCTCCCCGGCGCCCCCTCCCGCTTCCCGGGCTGCCCTCCCCGGGCGCCGCGGCGCTTCCTGTGGCGAGCGCGGGGCCCGAGCTTCCTTTCTCCGTTCGAGCCGGGGGACGCGGCGGCTGCCTCCCCCCCCCCCCCCCGCCCGCGTGGCTGGTGACAGCATTCCGAGTGGGGCCTGCGAAGGTCGTCCGGCAGCCCGCCGTGCGCCGGCGGGCGGGGACGGCAGGTCGGGGCCCCGGGGCGCGGGGTGCCGCCGCATCCGGAGGCGCACGGTGCCGCCTCGTCTCGGGTCCCCGGGACTTGCCGGGCCGGGCTCCCTCCCAGCTCCTCCCTGGGCTGCTTTGCCCACAGGGCTCCTCCAGGTGGACCTGGCGCGCGAGTGCCCCGGGCAGGGGACGAGGCCACCTTTTAGGACACGTGTCACCTTTCCCCGTTCCCTCCCTCCCTTCCACCCTGGAGCAGAGTCCGGCTGGGCCCGACTTCCTGTGTCTCCGAACCCCTAGCCTCTCCTTTCTTAACGATTCCCCCAGAACGGTGCTCACCCCCCTTCTGATTTTGTTTCTCGCGCTTTCTGTCATTCTTGCTTGGACCCGATACAGAAAGCCTTCCCTGGCTCATTAACCCCCCCTGAACCTCCTCGTTGCTTGTCCTGCCCGAGGAGAGCACCCAGCACACTTGTAGGTTGGTTTGTTTGATGTCTGTAACCAGAGCCGGGTAGTGAGACCTGTCAGGTGAACCAGGCTCAGAAAAGGGCCTGTTCCCGGTTCCATGCTTCCCCCCTCCCTGTATCCTCCAGTTCTTGCTTGTTGAACCAGGCCCCTCACTTTCATTTTGTGTAGCCAGTGCTGTCTGCGCTAGCTAAGTCCCATGGTATACAGTGCCCTACACACAGTAAGTTGGTTTAGTTTGTTTGCTTTAATATTGTTGAATGAGTGAAGGAGATCGAGAACCCACCAGCCAGGGGTATCTTTGTTTTTCCTCACATTCTCTGACGTGGAAAATGAAATGTCAACAAATCCCATTTCCGGAACACCATTGCCAACCGGCTTGAACAAAAATTTCATTTCCTGATAAATTCTAGGAGGAAGGAAAAGTTTCCATTTGTGACAAACTAGTAACTTTCAGTATGTAGAAGTCTCTTAAAGTCAGGGTTAATAACACATTGCTCCACAAAACTTTCCCTTTGAAGAAAAAAAGAATAAACCCAGTGCCCGTGGTTTATGCCTGTGATACTAGCTACTCAGGAGGCTAAGATCTGAGGATCAAACTTCGAAGCCAGCCTCAACAGACAAACCCAAGAAACTCTAATACACACACACACACACACACGCACACACACACACACACACACACAAATAAACATGGGATTGAGTAGCAATGATACCTCCTTGGTTAGCTGTGAAGAGATGATGTTCTTCTTTATTTTTGAATGTTTCTCTCTCAGTATTCTTTCCTCTCAGTTTCTTTGGCTTGAGACAGATAGCTCTCTGGGAAGGAGTGGAGTGGAACTCCCTGCTAAAAGTGTGGCAACTTCTGGTGTCCTTCCTTCCAAGTCTGAGACATGCCAGCACTCCCAAATGATCCTCATTCCCACTGCCTTCTACTCCTTATCTATCCACTTTGTTTCTCTCAGTCCACTGAGTCTTTTCTAGATAATGAAGGCCAATTAGCATTTCCCAATTCCACCCTGTGTGAACTGGGAGCACTGGATTTTGGGTGTGTCCATGAAGTCAGTTTTCTCTTGCACTCAGAAGATACTTATTGAGCCTCTTTCATAAAGTAGATCTGAGCCCTTTCTTGGGCGGGGAGGGGGCACCAGGCACTTTGATGGATAAGTCTCTGCTGTGATTATTATCTATTGCTTTTAATTTAGAAAAAGTAGGCTTATACTTGATTTGTATTGAGTCTGGAATAATCTGGAAATGTGGGCTTAATTCCAGCAAATTAAAGTTTTATTGCAGTAGCATTTCAAGTTGAATGATGTGGCATGTCTTTTATGAGTGTTCGTCTAAGTAGATGATAACTCTGATAATACTGAAGCAAAGTACTTATTTTATTACCCCAGAACTCCTATTTTAACATTGTACTTGGAGCACTTGGAATTTGTGTGATCATCATTATTTTCTCTAATCTTAGTATTTCCCACAACTGCCACAAGAAAATAGGGCTATGCATATAATGAACTTAAATGATTCCATGTTAGTGTCTGTTTGAAGTAAGGTACTAGTCAAGTAAGGTACACCTCAAGCAAGTCACTCAATTTTGGTAGTGTAGACGAACAATACAAAATTATCCATCCATTACATACCTGCTTCTTTGGCGTCTTTGAAAGGTTCAGACTTGACCAGGTATGTGAACACCTCATGGAACTTGTAAAGCTTTTACTACAAAAAGTAACACTTGGGAAAACTTCAAAGACCATAGGGAAGAACTTTTAAATACTATCAAGTGCCTAGAAGGCAAAGAAAGATCCTTCACATTTATGTAACTTAAGCCTTTAAAACCAGTGTTAGAGAGGGTCTAGATCATTTCTGTTTTATAGCTGGGGAAGGTATAAATCAAGGAGCCAATTAGCCTGGCCAGATGCAAAGATTTAGTAAGGGACATGTCTGGAGTCCTATTCTGGTTGTTCAATCCTGGCCCTAAAAAATCTCATTCTGTTTCTCCAGAACTTCTTGCTTTGGCCCAAAAGAAAATAATACATTGTAACATCAAACTCACCCTTAGCTTAGATTTTAAATACATAAGAAAATTGCAGTGCTATTTTTCCCTAGAAGAAGTTAAAATTGTGGAATTTATTTATTTTTGGTTGGTTGTGGGGCCTGAATTCTGGGTCTGGGTGCTGTCCTTCAGCTCTTCAGCTCAAGTCTAGTGCTCTACCACTTGGGCCACAGTGCCAATTCCGGCTTTTTTTTTTTCTGCCTGTGTGGTGCTGAGGAATCAAACCCAGGGCCTCATGCATGTGAGGCAAGCGCGCTACCACTGAGCCACCTTCCCAGCCCTCTGGAATATCTTTTACATTGATTTTTTTTTTTCTTTCTCTTAGTCACCTTATGCCCTGTCTGGCATATATGTGCATCTCTGTTTTGCAGAATCCTTTAACTTTGGAGACAGTAAAACAACTAATTGCAGAAGGTAATAAAGAAGAACTACAGAAATGTTTTGGGGCTCGGATGGAATTTGGGACAGCAGGCCTCCGAGCTCCTATGGGAGCTGGCATTTCTTGTATGAATGACTTGACCATCATCCAGACTACACAGGTACTGTGCTTTTATCATCCTACTTACCCTACTGCGCTTTTCATATTTGACAATGTTTCATTCTAGATTGTCTTTGGAGTTGGAGAGATAGGAGGCACCACCATTTACTCCATAAACTAAGGCTTGTTCAGTTAGTTGAGTTAGTGTATTTCAAAACATAAGTGTTCCATCTCTCTATGGCCCTGCACATCTGGCTACTCACCTATCCATCCATTCATCTATCCATCTATTTAACAAATGTATTAAGTATCTACTATATACCAGACATTGAGATATATCAATGACTAAAATAGACGTATTTCCTCCTGGAGATTTTATTTCAGTACAAACTCACTGATTAAGATGATGAGGAGGAGGAGAAAAAGGAGGATATGAATGTGGCAGGAGGAAGCCACACAAAGGAACTCAGTTACACTATGTTCTGTCTGTTAAAAGTGAGGCAGTAAATCTGGCTTATATGCAAGGAGAAGGAATATAGATACCTCCTTGTCAAGTCTACCACTTGAGACGCAGCTCTGAAAAAATCTCAAGGCAGAAAAGTGCTTGAGACTCTAATCTCCAGGTAACAGCAAAATGCTAGAAGTGGAGCTGTGGCCTAGCACACATCCCACCACAATACCCACATGTCTTTATTTCCTTGGAATAGCTTCAGAGGAGGTGCCCAGTTCAATATGTTGGCCATGGAAAAAGGAAAAGCATGCTGAATTGTCACAGCTCTTGTAACAAGGCTGTGAATTATCCCCCTCCCCCCCCCCCCAAATAGAAGCTCTGCTTCAGTTTATGCAAGACTTTTCTTTAGCAAAAATGCAGTCCATGTTAATGAAACATAACTGTTGCTCTATCTCTTTGTTCTGTCATAATGTTCAACAATTAAAATTGGATTCCAAGCTCACTGCTTTCTTCTCCTGGGTATTTGAGATTGGTGTGGTCTGAGTAGGTAAGGATGGTTCTAAAACACACAAGGTTCTCAGTAGTTCACATGTTTTCATGCACCTAATTCCCATTTGTGACAGCCACATGTGCTAGGCACGGTTGTTATTTCTGCTTTACAAAAGAGGAAACTGAGGCGTCGAGAGGTAGAAATGCCAGACACTGATGGCTCATGCCTGTGATCTTAGCTACTCAGGAGGCTGAGATCTGAGGATTGTGGTTCAAAGCCAGCCCTGGCAGGAAAGTCCATGAGACTCATCTCCAATTAACCACCAGAAAACCAGATGTGGCGCTGTAGCTCACAGTGGTAGATTGCTGGCCTTGTGAAAATAGCTCTCTGGGATAACATCCAGGCCTTGAGTTCAAGTCCTATGACACACACACACACACACACACACACACACACACACACACACACACACACACACACAAAGGTGGAAGAAATTGTCACCTGCTAGTAGGTGGCAGAGTACTGACCCATATTTTGGCCCCACAACTTTTGCTTTAGCTACATCACTGAACCTCTTCACCAGGTTCTGCTCCCCATGGATCTGAACTGGGGAGGTCAGTATGGCTCTCTGAGCCTTTGTGTTGCCATCTGTGAAATAGGATTTCTGGGCAAAGTTGATCTGGGATGATGCCTGATACAGAGAGATGGAGAGTAAATGAAGCTGAAATTTTATTATTGCTCAGTTTTCTTGATCACTGAAAAGGTTGGCTTTTTTTTTCTCCTCTTCTATGATGTTCTACATGAAAGTTAAGAAAAACGTAAGTTTTGGCTATTTTTCTATATCCCATGTATAAAAGATGCATTCAAACATACGGGGTTTTTTAGGGATTTTGCAGATACCTGGAAAAACAGTTTGGTGACCTGAAGCAGAGGGGTGTGGTGATCAGCTTTGATGCCCGAGCTCACCCCCCCAGTGGAGGCAGCAGCAAAAGGTACTTCTACACTTTCAGAAACAGAGTTTTTAAAACTAGTTTATATGGTGCTTTTATTTTGGAATTGCTACTTCAGTAGTTGGGTTTAAGTATATCATTAGCTACATTGCTTAACTATTTCAAACAAGTTCCATTTGCAGCTTTTAAATACTCTTCATTTAGATTTGGGTTAAGCAAATAAACTTACCTAGGCATCTAGCATGTAATACTTGTTTAAAGGAAAATGTCTTCTAAACTGGCAATATGTTTTCTCTATCTCACTGGCTGCCTTTGTTCTTCCTGTTTTATTTTTATTTCCTCCCACTATTCATAACCCTTATGACCTCCTCTTTTCTTCCCCTTACTTACTTTTTTTGTGTGCTAATATTGGGGCTTGACTATAGGGCCTCATGTTCTTATTTGGCTTTTTAGCTTAAGGCTTATGCTCTACCATTTAAGCCATACTTTCACTTCCAGCTTTTTGCTGGTTAATGGGAGATAAGATTTTCACTTTTCTGCTTATATTGGTTTTGAACTATGATCCGCAGCCTCCTGAGTAGCTAGGATTATAAGGATGAGCCATTAACATCCATCTCTTGGCTCATTCTTTCTTCTTGAGTGCTTGAGTGAAAATGCATTCTTATAAGATCCCTAAACCTATAGGATTCTTTTATGTAGCTGTAGATAAGTACCACTGATGGTGATGATAATAATGATGTTGGTGGTGGTGATGGTGGTAGTCATGATAGCAGTAATCATTTGAGTGCTGATTATAAGCCAGGCAATTACATGTTTATTCACTTAATCCTCAAAAACACCTATAAGGATTATGTTTTTATCTTTTTGCTCTGAGATTACAATTCAAATAGAGGAGCTACAATTTGAACATTACAAGACCAGCACCAGGGTTCGCCTGGTGCTATAAAATTATAATATCTTTCAAATTGTGCATCAGTCCCTAGGACAACTGCTGTGTTCATACAACCCCTCTTTTTCACTTGTATACTTCTCTGTGAGGTTTTTTGTTTTTTGGGTTTTTTTTTGTCGCTCAGGGGGCTTGAACTCTGGGCCTGAGCGCTGTCCCTCAGCTCTTCAGCTCAAGGCAAGCATTTGAGCCACAGCACCATTTTTAGTTTTCTGGTGGTTAATTGGAGATGAGTCTCACGGACTTTCCTTACCCAGGCTAGCTTTGAACCGCAGCCCTCAGATCTCAGCCTCCTGAGTAGCTAGGATTACAAGTGTGAGCCACTGGTACCTGGTTTCTATGAGTATTTTATTCATCTTAGAATATAAATATTAGTTCTTAGATCAAAAAGATACATGAATACTTAATCTTAGTGGAGAGCCTTATTAATTTTATAGCACCAGATGACTTTATAAAGTGCTAGCTTGACCCATCAGTAGTCTTGATGTGAAAAGCACTCATGGGAACAAATACATGGCTGTGAGGAAGGGATTGTTGGCAGGGAAAAGAAGCAGATGACATGAGTCCCTAGACTGAACTCAGGCAGGCATGAGGATGTGTGTTCCTTAGAGAAGCGGTAGCTCTGGGGAGAGGGTCACAAGGGCTATATTCTTAAGACAGGGATGTAGCACAAAGCAGGATATTATTTTGTGGATTTAGAGTGGATTGAGGAGACCATGAGAACTGTATCATGAGCACGTTGGGCCCCAGGGCAGGTCATATGCTCTGCTCAGAGCACACGTAGTCCATTTACGTGGCTGACTGCCTGCGTCACTTCCCAGATTTCTCCATTGTAGATTGCATGTCCTGCTTCTGGTAGATGCACTCATCCTCCAGATATGGAGGATGTGGTCTGTTAAAGTATAAATGAACTCTGGCCTTGGGATCATGTCATCAGCTTCAAGTGATTGGCATTTCTAATTCTATTGAAATTTGTGGTTCAAGTCTCAGAGGCTGAAGGGAGAGGATAGAATGGATCTAAGGGCTGTTCTCTGTCACAAAGAAAATGCAAGACATTTAGAGATCACAATATACGTATCAAACTGTGATGAAGCATCCATGAGGATACATAGAATCTTCCTAAAGAGCTGAAATCAGAACAGTCTCAGGATTTTACCTAATTACATTTTTAACCTTCCAATTTCAAGATGGGATATGTTAGCAATAACTATTAATCATATACACAAAACATACTGAAGATTTTTGGTGCACAAATCTTTTTTGTCTCCTACATATAGTTATAATATATGCACACACACAAACATACAGACACATACACACACACACACACACATTGTCTTCTTTGCTGATTTTAAGATATTCCCTTTAGCTAGGGACATGTATCAAGTGGTCAATCTTCCTAGCAAGTGCCAGGTCCTTAATTCAAAACTTTGAAGTCCTTTGAAGTACACCTAAAGATATGATCAATATTTTATTCCAATTTTCACTAAAATTATTTTGCTGAATTGTTTATATTTTTATCACTTTCCACTATGTAAAAAAGAAAAAACCGAACTGTTATGAAAATCATTTTGGCACTGATATTGGAAAGTTTTTCATTTGAGTTGTTGAAGTGCTGAGATTCCTACCTGTGTCCCTGCCATCTCTAGTGCTCAGGAAATTTGGGGAGAAAATGACTAGTGGTTTAATCTTGGAAGCAAATTGTTTACTTGCATATGGTATTTTAATCTAACCACAAATAAAAACTATATACCATGTTCGTCATGTTGCCCTATGCTAGTTGCTGTGGAAGCTGACAAAAATGTCAAAGATTGAACACATGCCTTTTTGAGAACTGATGGGACCAATATGTGCAGAGATGTGCATGTGTATGTTAATTCCTGCTGCATTTCTAATAGAACCTAATCAGGTTTGGGTCTGCATAGAGTGTCCTTGATAGTAATAGAGCAGCCTGGGGTTTCTCAGTCTGCATATTGACATGGGACTTTACACTGGCTGGATCATCTCTTGTTTGGGATTGCCCTGTGCATTGTAGAGCATTTACCAACATCTGTGGCCCAAATTCACTTCCAGGAGCACTTCCCTCTCCTTCCAGTGTGATAGCTGAGCCTATCGTCACCTCAGATGCTCAGGTGAGAGGCACGAAGGTAGACTGAGATCAGAGAGTTGAAAACTGGGTGCAGTCTTGGGTCCAGTGCTAAGTGGCCTTCAGCCGTATACAGGGCCTGGTGCCTGACCTTCAGACCCATTTCTGTAAAAAGCAAAGGGGTAACAGGTGACTTCTCAGGTTCCTCCAGTTTGGATAGTCCATGTGAGAGTAAATATTTATAAGAAACATTTCCCTGATTGACCGCTGTCTTCAGCATCAAGACATGTTTGGCACACCTTGCTTCCTTCCATCACTCTGGGTTGACAGCAGGACTCTCCTTTTCTTCCTCGTTGCTGCATTTCTAGGTTTGCTCGACTTGCTGCAACCACCTTCATCAGCCAGGGGATTCCTGTGCACCTATTTTCTGATATAACCCCCACTCCCTTTGTGGTAAGTAATCATTTCCCTCCCTCCCTCGTTCCCTCTTTCCCTTTCTCCTTCCCTTTCTCCTTCCTTCGTTCCTTCTTTCTTTCTTTCTCTCTTTCTTTTTCTCTTTCTTCTCTTTCTTTCTTTCTCTCTCTGCCTCCCTTCCTCCCTCCCTCCCTCCCTCCCTCCCTCCCTCCTTCCCTCTCTTCGTTCGTTCGTTCGTTCGTTCGTTCGTTCGTTCGTTCGTTCCTTCCTTCCTTCCTTCCTTCAACTCTGGACCTGGGTGCTATCCTAGAGCTTTTTTGCTGAAGGCTGGTGCTCCATTATTTGAGCCATAGTTCCACTTGCAGCTTTTTTGTGGCTAATCAGAGATAAGAGTCTCACAGACTTTACTGCCTGGGTTGGCTTCAAACCTCTACCCTCAGATCTCAAGTCTCCTGAGTAGCTAGGATTACAGGTGAGAGCCACTGTATAATCAAATTCTAACTTCCTGCCCTGGCATCAGACATGGAACATGGCTGAATTTTACAGGCTTACATACCTTTGAGATTCAGATATTTCCCTGACAAAGAGCTCCTTGGCATTCACAAGGACAGCTCTTTCCAGGAAAGGCAAAGATGTGTTCCACTTACATACTACTTCTGGGATTCACCTTTTGATTCATCACAACTGATTTTTTTAAGGGTATGGTTCAGGGCTGGGGCTGTAGGTCAGTGGTAAGGTGAATAAAGACCTGGATTTCATCTCTAGAACTACAAAAGGAAACAGTGCAGATTTTCCTTTATTTGCATTCTAAGGATATTTTTAGTGAATTGGAAAAATATTTTTTGTTCATTTTCTAATTTGGTGAGTATTCTTTTTCCCAGCTGTCACAATTAGGAAACTTCCTGGATCTAAATCTGAATTTATCTCCAATTCTGTCTTATGAATATTTGACAGGTCAGTGTACCAGCTTTATATGCACCTGCTTCATCCTAGACTTGCCTCAGATTCTTAATGAAGTAGCCTCCAAACAGAAAGGTATAGTAGCTGAGCACTGGTGGCTCACATTTGTAATCCTAGCTACTCAGGAGGCTAAGATTTGAGGGTTGTGATTTACAGCTAGCCTGGGCACCCAAATGCAAGAGATTCAAGTCTCATCTCCACTTAACCAATAAAAAGCCCCAAGTGGAGGTATGGCTCAAGTGGTGGAGCACCAACCTTGAGTGCAAAAGCCAAGCAAGAACATGAAGCCCTTAAGTTCAAACTCTAGTGCCAGTACAGAGAGAGAGAGAGAGAGAGAGAGAGAGAGAGAGCACACACCTGCAGAGAGTTGTGACCACTGTTGCTTTCACAGAAATGTTGAGAACTGAGAGTATGTTTTAGAGCACAGCATCTGGGTGCAGTTCCTGACAGCAGGCAGTGGAAACATCATCAGGACAGTCACCTCCCTGGATTTGTGCTGGCTCCCTGTGCACTGACAGGGTCAGGTCAAGGTTGCATATAACCCACTAGACACAGAATGTCATAGTAGTTCAAGATTCATTGTTAGTGGAAAATCGTAATGTGCTCTAGTGCCCTAGTTGTCATCTTTACTAAGTCTTTTTGCATCAGGTGTGAGTTACTGAGTGCTTCTTGGTCATTTTCTATACTGTGTAGTGCTTCTACACCTGACACCAGGACACCTGATGGATGTGACATCAGTTCCAAGGGGACCAAGAACTACAGCCATTCTTGGTGGGAGGGTGGAAGAGACAGACAGTTCCAATTTCAGGTTGCCTGTATATAACAAATCTCAGAAATAATCCAATCCTCTCCTCCGCTGTAGTATTGTAAAGATGGCAGCTAAAACTGGGCATTGATGGCTCATGCCTGTAATCCCAGCTGCTCAGGAGGCTGAGATCTATGGATTAAGGTTCAAAGCCAGGCCAGATAGGAAAGTCAGTAAAAGTCTTATCTGTAATTAAGTACCATGAAAGTGGCACTGTGGCTCAGTGGTAGAGTGCTGGCTTTGTGCACATAAGCTCTGGGACAGCATCCAGGCCCTGACTTCTAGTCCCAGGACCCACATAGGAAAAAAAAAGAAAGAAAGAAAGAAAAAGAAGGCAGCTAGTCAAAACTCAGGGAATCATCTTTAACACTGGAATGAGATAAATGTGCCACCTGTGAGTATTCTCCATCTCCTCAGCCTTTTCTTTAGAAGGAAATGATAAAGAAGAGGAGAATAAACTAAATATTTAAGCTTCTCTCCTGAGCAAGAGCTTTAGAAGAATGTAGAATGGAGGCATAGAGCATCTTTTGTATGTTAGAGCTGTCTAGCCCTCCCAAGTAGAAGACAGAGAAGAAGAAGGAAACTGGGAATCTACTTACCTTCCTTAATAGGAAGGTCTGGTTCTGGGGTCTGGTACAGTCAGATAATTCCAGGGACAATAGCATACAGTTGATTTTGCTTGTATGTGGCAGGGAGCAGAGAAAGGTGTGTTTGAAAACCAATGGATGCCTGAAAATACAGAGAATATGGACCCCTGTGTATCCTGTACATACAGACCTATGCATACAGACATATGAGAAAGTACATTTTGTAAACCAGGCAAAATAAATTATTAACAACGATAGCTAATAATAAACAGAATGATTCTGACAACATTCTATAAGAAGGTGGTCTGTCTCCTCTCTCTCCTCTCTCTCTTTTGAAAGAGTTAAGATAAGTATTGGTCACTGAAGTGACATATAGCCACAGTGGAGATAAAGGGGAGACTCCTATGTACTGCTTAGATGTGGCTCAAAAATCCCAAATGGCACTTTGTGATACACATTGTGTTTGTGGAAAGAAAAACCAGCAGGCATGAACACAGTGTACAATAGACATTTCAAGTAGATCTAGTCTTTTGTTCAAAAAAATTCTCTGTTGCTCTGTTTCAGCCCTATACTGTGTCACATTTGAAACTTTGTGCTGGGATCATGATCACTGCCTCCCACAATCCAAAGGAAGACAATGGTTACAAGGTATTTCCCTATCTCCACTCATGGTCCTTCTATGGAAAGCCCATTTCTGCCCTGGACCTCCTGAATGCAGTCTTGGTTTCCCTAGGTCTACTGGGACAATGGAGCCCAGATCATCTCTCCACACGATAAAGGGATTTCTCAAGCTATTGAAGAAAATTTAGAGCCCTGGCCTCAGGCTTGGGATGATTCTGTTCTTGATGGCAGCCCCCTGCTTCACAACCCCAGCACGTCCATCAATAACGACTACTTCGAAGACCTTAAAAAATACTGTTTTCACAGGTAACTGAATTGTTCAGCACTGACCTTAAGGGAGTTCAGTTAATGTGATTCAGCCAAAACCAAGTTCTATCAGTATCTGTTGAACTTTGTTTTTTTGTTTTTTTTTTTAAAGGTGATACATACACTAGAATGATTTGTTACAGGGACTCAGGGTTGGGACTGATCAACTTTTCTTAAACAGAGAGGTAGTAAATAAGCCAGTTCTGTGGGGCCTTTCTCCACTAGCCAGTTTTGTTGTAGCAACCTGTCAGGGAAGTAATGAAAATGTAGCTTCATATACAAAAGCAGACGGCAAGCCCATGGGCTATTATTTGCTGATCTGTTATAGACTCATACACTTATGTATGTGGCTGTGCATGTGTGTCTATGTCAACATAAATATGTATATAAATGTATAGTTAAAATTTTTTACCTAATCAGGAGGCAGAGATCTGAGGATCCAGGTTCAAAGCCAGCCCTGGAAGGAAAGACCAGGAGACTTTTATCTCCAATTAACCTTTAAAAAAACCTGGAAGTGGAGCTGTGGCTTAAGTGGTAGAGTACTAGCCAAGGGAAAGCATGAGTTCCCAAGTTCATGCTCAATACTAGCCCAAAACAAAAATCAAACAAACAAAATTTACCAAAAGGTATTGAAATGGATCTTTTTTCCTTCCAAAGGGAAACCCCCTAATTTATAAATGTGGGGGCCATGTTTTTCACTATGCATAATCCAAACAAAACACTCATGGGAACTTTGCCTGTGCACCTCTGATAAAGAATTTTTTGTTACTGCAAGGAGAAATGGAGCCAACGTCCTGCTCATAGTTCTGTGTGTGGGTGTGTGTGTGGGTGTGTGTGCATAAAAGTGCTTTCTGACATCAGAATTATATATGCATTAGAGCTAGAGGTATAACTCAGTGCTAGAGCCACTTGTCTAGCATGCATAAGATCCTGCGTACCAGCTTCTGCACCACAATAATAATAAAACAGAAAGGAGTCCTGCAAGCATTTACAAAGTTGGCGTAGTTACCACCACCCTCCAAAATACTATAGCAGTTGATGCTCTCACAAGCAGTGCATGATGGGATGGCACTCCACAATCCTCCCCAGGACCAAAGTCCTCCCTTTTTCTGGATTGGCTAGGTGACAATAACAGCTATGTAGGTTTGCATTCTTATCATTAGGAATAAACTTCTTTTTTTCATTTCTTAACATATATTTTTCTATGTGTTTAGTTCTTGTATTTGGAAAACTTCCACTTAGATAGAAAGCTAGTCTTATCTATTTAAAATACTGTCTTTCCTCTTGTTGTTCCTTTGATTTTTTTTTTTTTTAAGTTGAAGTGTTTTGTTGCACTTTTAACTATTTTTGCTAATATTGGCCAGGCTGCGATGGCTCATGGCTGTAATCCTAGCTACATAGGTGGCTGAGATCTGAGGATTGAGATTCAAAGCCAGCCTGGGCAGGAAAGTCTATGAGGGTATATTGCCAATTAACCAAAAAGTCAGAAGGGGAGCTGTGGCTCAAGTGGTAGAGTACCAGCCTTAAGCATAAAGGCTCAGGGACAGTGCCAAGGCCCTGAGTTCAAGCCCCAGTACTAGAACAAGAAGAAAAAGAAATTGCCAATATTTTAAGGTTTTTTTTATGTATGGTTTCTGAGTTAAAGACTTACTCTACACCTAAGGAAGTTGTTTTGTTTTTGTCAATTGAGGGGCTTGAGCTCAGAGCCTTGATGCTGCCCCTAAGCTCTTTTTGCTTAAGGCTATCTCTCTACCACTTTGAGCCACAGCACCACTTCCAGTTTTCTGGTGGTTAATTGGAGATAAGAGTCTCACAGACTTTTCTGCTTAGTGTGGCTTTGAACCACAATCCTCAGATCTTAGCTCCTAAGTAGCTAGGATTACAGGTGTGAGCCACTGGCACCTGGCAGGAAATTTTTTTTTTTAATTTTTTTTGGGGAGTCTGGTTGTGGGGCCTAAACTCTGGGCCTGGGCACTGTCCCTCAGCTCTTCAGCTCAAGGCTAGCGCTCTACCACTTGAGCCACAGCACCACTTCCGGCATTTTTCTTTTTGCTTATGTGGTGCTGAGGAATCGAACGCAGGGCCTCAGGCATGCAAGGCACAACTCTACCACTGAGCCACCTTCCCAGCCCCAGAAATGTTTTTTTCTAGAACTTTTATACTTACATTTTCTGATATAGATGATTTTGTTATTAGTGATTTTTTTTTTAAATTTTGTATGGGGCTATAAAACAGGATAGTAGCTTTTGTGTTTTTTTTTTTCTGGAAGGTTGTAGTTATACCAATACTATGAATTGGCTCATAGGTCAATAACATATATAGATATAGATATAATATTATCTAAGCTATGTAATATATATATAATATATAATTATGTAAAATAGCATAATACATATATATGTATTAGAAGTGGCAGAACTCTAGGATTTAAATGCAGAGTCTAGCCAGAGTATACTAACCACAGAACACTCCTGCCACTTGTGCCAATTTAATCTACCTTTATTGTTTGAGAAGGGCCTTATTATGTAGCCCAGGCTGTACTTCTATGTGCAGCTTAATTTGCCATTTTTCTATCTAATGCTCAAACCTCCAAAGATTGTAACTTTCTACTGTGTTTTAATATCCAAAAGATGTTGTATATCAGCTTTGTCCTCCTGGAAGCATATTATATTTAAGTATGTGTTTATTTTAAACCATTGTTGTCTGAGAGAAAATGAACCTTGTTCATTTATTTCATTTCCATGAAAGAAACTGATAATAACTTGATCTTCTAGAGATGCAAGCTATAGAAGTTTCTAAAAATCTTACAATCATTTTTCTGAATCTTCTGTTCATTTTTATTTTGTTGTTATTTTATGATATTGAATCCCTGGCTCATGATACTTTACCAAACAGCACTGTTACTTAGCAAAGAACACCTTATATTTTTCATATATCCATATATGTGATAATTCATGAAAGGCATATTTGAAAATCATTTTGAGTCTACCAAAGAATACATGGAGTCCTGGAGCCCATCTCGGACACTGCCATGGACAACACCCATATGAGCAGATGCATGTTTCTTCATGGAACCTGAGCTGAGGTTCTTAGCACCCGCTCTGGGAAAAACCAGCTCTTCTGTATCATTCAATCTGAAAGTCATTGGACTTGTCAGAAATAATTGCAGAGTAAAATCTAAAACTGTACACACTGGAGGAAGTTCACTCTATTTTTAGAGAGAGTAGATGTTCTGTTCTTCCCCCCACCTGCCTTGGGTGCTGGTACTGGGTCTTGAACTCAGGGTTTTTGCTTGGCTTTTTCCACTCAAGACTGGTGCTCTACCACATGAATCATACCTCTAGTTCAGGCTTTTGTGTGGTTTAATTAGATGTAAGAGTTTCATGGATTTTTTTGCCTGGACTAGCCTCAAATCATGGTTCTCAGATCTCAGCCTCCTTAGTAGCTAGGATTACAGGCATGAGCCACCAGCGCCTGGCCCCTTATACACTCTTATGACTTGGATATTTCAGTCTTGAGTGTGACTTCTTGATACTTGTACTTGTTTTCAGAGCTATATTTGTATGTTTTGTCATTTTATCCCAGGAAGGTGAACAAGGAAGCCAAAGTGAAGTTTGTGCACACGTCAGTCCACGGAGTGGGACATGACTTCGTGCAGTCAGCATTTAAGGCTTTTGACCTGGCTCCACCAGAAGCTGTTCCCCAGCAGAGAAAGCCGGATCCCCAGTTCCCAACCGTCAAGTACCCCAACCCCGAAGAGGGTAAAGGTGTCTTGGTAACCTACTTTTATTAAATAATAACATCTAGATTTTTCCCCAAAAATCCTATTTAAAAATTTACCATCCAGTCAAGTATGTTTTTATGTGTTTTCATTGAACTGAAGAAATTAATTTCATCATTGGAAATATGCATGTTTCAGTCATTAATTTCATCTTTTTGGTTTTTAAAAAAAAATTCCTCCCCAGGGCTCCATGCTTCCAAGGCAAGCACTAAACTACTGAACCATGGCTCCAGCCCATTTTTTTAAAAACTGTTTAATTTTGACATGGTGGGTTCTCCACCCACTATAGACATAAACATCAATCTACCTATTGTAAGTTTCTTCTGGCTAAGATTACAGGTACACCCCACCACATCCAGTTTTCAGTTGAGATGTCTCAATAACTTTCTTGCCTGAGCTGGCCTCCATTCATGATTCTTTAAATCTCAGCCTCCCAAGTAGCTAAGCTTACTTTATGATGCTTATTTTAATTATTTTTTGGTGCTATTAGGGTTTGAACTCAGGGCCTTGAAGTATCTCAGCTTGCTTGGCTGACACTCCACCGCTTGAGCCACACTCCAGCCTTTGCTGTTTGGAAGATGGAATCTAGAGTACTTTTTGCCTTGTCCAACCTTCAACCACAGTCCTCCAGATCTTAGGTCCTAAGTAGCTAGAATTACAGCCACCAGCACCTGACTTATAGTTTAATTTCTCAAATTAGACCTCTTAACATCCTGATGGATGGAAATCTAAATAATATTTTTAATTTAAGTGTGATTTGCTTATTTCCTGAATGTCAAAAATAACAGAAATAGAATGGAATTTTCTTAATATTGTGACTTTTTATTTTTTAATTCATGTGGTTGTGATATGAAGGAGTGTTATTTTAAATTATGTTACATATAAGTTTTTTTTTGGCAGTACTGAGATTTGAATTCATGGTGCCTTACACTTGGTAGGCATGCATGCTACCTCTTGAGCCACGTAGCGCCTAATTTGGTGAATTAGTTATTTTTCAAATGGAGTCTCATACTTTTGCCCAAGGCCAGCGTCAGACTGTCATCATTCTTTCTCTGCCTCTTACATAGCTGGGTTTGCAGGTGTGTGAGCCATCACTCCTAGCTTATTATTTGAGATAGAGTCTTGGTACCTTTTTGTCCAGGCTGGCTTTGTCATCCTCCTATCGCTACCCTACATGTATCTGATTATAGGTGTAAGCCACTGTGCCCAGTTCATAGAACATTTTTTTACGGCCAGGTAGTGATGATACTGAGTGAGGATCAGTGGAGGTTTATGGAGATAGCCACTCAGTAATGCCTAGAAAGCCAGTTCAGCACCTTGTCACATGTAGGTTGCGTAGCAGGGCAAGTGTGAGCCACACACTGGAATGCCCTCCTTATCTTGACCTCCACCTTGGGATGGTCAAGAGCAGAAGCAAGACCAGCTCCAGGAATAAATGAACTCTTAAAGACCTGAACCTGTGAAAAGACTTGGTTCTCTCATTGTTAAGCAATCACTTACATTCATCCTCTTTTTCAGACCTTGTCTTTTGCTTTGGCTGACAAAATCAAAGCCAACATTGTTTTAGCAAACGACCCGGATGCAGATCGACTTGCTGTGGCAGAAAAGCAAGACAGGTGAAATTACTTGTGACTGGATAATGGGAAATACAAATGATGACATGTTCCTGGGGAGAGTGAACCCAGTTTCAGCGGAAACATTTTCCACTTATTTTGCAAATTCTCTCACAAAAGTAAGGGGCTGTTCTTAATGGGGAGGATACATACTGGCATGCATAGTGTAGACCAAACAGCCTATTGCAATTGAAATGACTTTGTGAGCCTCTCCCATTTTATAATTGAGTTGAATGTAAATTGAGGTTGGTGCTATGCAGTTCTGTATTTGTCAGTGGGTTTGAGTTAGGGGAAGAAGGGAAAGACAGAAGAATACCTGTGGGGTGTTGGCACAATGTGAGAGAAATAGGACCCTAGAGTTTGCACAAAGGGATAGAGAAGTCAGTTAAAGTAAAGCCATTGCCAAAGATTACAGGTCTCTCTGACATGTTTATTACATGTGATCTTCAAAGAGTGGATATTTGTCTAAACATACTGGCAGATACATGATAGTCCCTGGAGTACGTATGAAGTGGCAGTTACATTTCTGATCAGTTATGTAATTCTTGCAGCAAGCCTAGTTGCTTGGCTTTTCCATCCCACTGTCTTCTATGCCTTCCTTCAGCTCACTGAAATGAATGTTTTGTTATGATTTTTTGTTTCCAGTGGTGAATGGAGAGTGTTTTCAGGCAATGAGCTGGGGGCCCTCTTGGGCTGGTGGCTCTTTACATGTTGGAAAGAAAAGAACCCAGATCGCAGTGCCCTCAAAGACACTTACATGTTATCCAGCACTGTGTCTTCCAAAATCTTGCGGGCCATTGCCTTAAAGGAGGGCTTCCACTTTGAGGTAAGGTGTTTATGGGACCACACAATTTCCATATCTTTTTCTTCTGAGGAGGATCTAAAGCATTTCCTTTCCTTTCGTATCATCTCTTTAGGAAACATTAACTGGCTTTAAGTGGATGGGGAACAGAGCCAAACAGCTAATAGACCAGGGAAAGACTGTCTTATTTGCATTTGAAGAAGCTATTGGTAAGAAGCAATTCTGAGTGCTAATGTAAAATATGTAAATAGTGGGAGATTTGCCACTTAAACCATGCCTCCTGTCTAGCATTTTTTAGTTAACTGGAGATAGAGTCTCACAGACTTTTCTACTTGGGCTTCCTTCAAACCACAATCCTCTAGGTCTCAGTCTCTTGAACAGCTACGATTACAGGTGTAAGCTACTGGTGCCTGGCTACTGGGTTCAATTCTTAACCTATTATGGGGGTAATGAGAAATGTGCATATACTCCATACTGTTCCACTTGTAATGTGCAGTAGCCAGGATGCTTGTACTATAAAGCTGGACACAGTAGTTAAGGAACTCACTCCTAAGTGTGTATGTGTCTGACTTGTGTCTCTGCAGGGTACATGTGCTGCCCTTTCGTTCTGGACAAAGATGGAGTCAGTGCTGCTGTCATAAGTGCAGAGTTGGCGAGCTTCCTAGCAACCAAGAATTTGTCTCTGTCTCAGCAGCTGAAGGCCATCTATGTGGAGTAAGTCTCTACTGACTCTGCTTGACTGAAGTGCTATGTTTAAATGTTTTATTATCTTCTCGGGCATGAGATACAAAGATCCATTCTAGCGTTTGTACATTAGTGAAGTATTTTTTGTGAGAAATTTGGTCACCTTTTCCTTTCGATGTTAAACCACTTGCTACTTATCCCTCCGCAGTTGCAGTGACATCCGGTCAATCTTCTTAGCAAGTTCTGAACTCTGCTAACACAGCGCAGAAACTTCTGGAGACAGCACATGGTATAGCTGCCTTCCAGTAAATCTTGAATTTACAAATACAAGCTGATCCTTGGGTAGATTGTTAGACTTTCCCCCCATCCCCGCAAGTACTGGCTCTTGAACTTAGGGCCTGGATACTATCCTTTAGCTTTTTTGCTTAAGGCCAGTGCTTTACCACTTGAACCACAACTCCACTTCCAGATTTTTGCTGGTTATTTGGAGATATTTGTGCCTAGGCATGGATATTTGTGCCCAGGCTGGCTTCTGCGATTCTCAGATCTCAGTTTCCTGAGTAGCTAGTATTATCGGTATGAGTCACTAGCATCTGGCTGGACCTGTTTTTCAAATAATAGACAACTTTGAAGTTCTGGCTGTTTATTTCATTTATTTTAGAATAAATGGTTGACAACATATGACAGTATATCATATGTAACACTGTAAAGGTATTTGTTGCTCATTTTGCATGAATTGGTATTTTTTTGATAGGTATGGCTACCATATTACCAAAGCTTCATATTTTATCTGCCACGATCAAGGCACCATTCAAAAATTATTTGGTAACTTAAGAAACTATGATGGGAAGAATAATTATCCAAAAACTTGTGGCAAATTTGAAATCTCTGCCATTAGGGACCTTACAACTGGATATGATGACAGCCAATCTGATAAAAAAGCAGTAAGTAATATTTATCAACCTGAATTCTTTACTGTTTGCCTTTTCTTTTTTTCCAATAATTTGGAGAAATTTACCTAATTCATTTCATGGATTAAACTCAATTGTATAAGCTATAAAATATATGAACAATGACCACTTGTGGGCTAGATCTGAAAAGGCTTTCTCTGGTCTTTACATGGTAAGTGGTACCAGGGCCATCACTTGAGACACAGGGAATTATCATTAGTAATTCTTCACTGAAGGAATGTTCCAGTCATATAGAGGACTGGCTAAAATCAAATGCTAGCCAAACCAGGTGGCACACTCACCTGAAGCAGGAGGATTGAGAGTTTGAGGCATCCCAGCTACTGTCACAAACAAAACAGTGCTACAATGTTTTCAGCCCACTCTTGAGTTTCTTGGTTGTTCTGTCTGCTGTGGGGGACTGAGAATTTGAATATCCAACAAATTTCCGGAACATATGGAGCATATGCTGATGCAGCTGGTCTGGTCCACCATGGAAGAATCACCACTTGCTGTCTGATTAGCTTTACCCTAGTCTCTGGATGCACATGCTCTAAAGCATACCTTTGTATTCTTCATACCATGTGGACTCCTCCATTACTGCCAAAGGGAAGCCCGAGGAGTATTAACTGTGACAGAACATTAGAAGGAGAATTGGGAATATCTTAATGAGCTGGTAGATATCTTCTTGATTTTTACCCTTTTTTTGTCAGTCATAGGGCTTAACCTCAGCTCTGGATATTGTCCCTGAGCTTTTTGGTTCAAGGCTAGCACTCTACTGCCTTGAACCATTTCCAGTTTTTAGGTGGTTAATTGGAGATGAGTCTCATGGCCTTTCCTGCCTGGACTGGCTTCAAACCATGATCCTCAGATCTCAGCCTCCTGAGTAGCTAGGATTAGAGGTGGGAGTCACCAGCACCTAGCTTGTATTTTTAAAATTTTAATTTGTGCATGGTATTAAAAAGGTTATGATGAAATCTGCCACCTAGTGGCCAAACCACCTTCCACTCTTGTTTCTTCCAGTGTTTCCATATTGTACATACACATACACATACAATGTGCTTCTTATACTTCCTGCATTGCACGCTGGTCACTCTGCCCTACCAAATCAGATTCCACTTTTATTTTATTTTGGTGCTGGTACTGGAGCTTAAACTGAGCGTCTGGGCACTGTTCCTTAGCTTTTTCACTAAAGTTGGGGCTCTAGCACTTGAGCCACAGCTTGACTTCCAGCTTTTTGCTCATTAGCTGGAGATAAGAGTCTCACAGACTTTTATGCTTGGGCTGGATTTAAATTGCAATCCTCAGATCTCAGCCTCCTGAGTAGCTAGGATTACAGGGATAAGCACCTGGCAGATTACAAGCTTTTACCACTATGATTACTATTACTGTGGCCTGCTGCTTACCTAAATAGTATATTCTTGGTGAAGTTTTTGTTCTTTCATTTGCCTTGGTATCTATTCAACTGTCCCCAGATCTTGTTAACTTTTTCAAGTGACGCTTGGTAATATTTTCTACATGATCAAAGGATTCAGCTATTTTGGGGTCTCCATTTTATCTCCATACCTCCCCCCCAATACCCTCTTCCTTCATCCAGTCTATGCTAGCTGTTTTCTAAGAATGTCATCCTGAGATGCCAATTGCCAGGGCTGAGACTCTTATTCTGAACCCCCTGGTTTTCTCTTTACTTATTTTCCTGCATTACGTCTTCCAATTGCTTCCTGAAAAAAGTGGGGTCAAGTTTTAGAAGCATTTTGTTCTAAAAATGTCTGATTTTGTCCTCACAGTTTGGCTCAGTTTTGAAAGCACTGCTCTGTTACAGCTTGGCTTTCCAGTATTACTTTGAGCATCCAAACATTACTTCCTTCAGCCAATAGTTGAGGCCTGCTGTATACTGCTTACCGAGATGTCAATGCCATACTTAGCCATTTCTTCACAGCTTTTCTTCTTTTTGTTTTTCTTTTGTTGGTTGTGGGACTTGAACTCAGGGCCTGGGCATTGTCCCTGAGCTTTTTTACTCAAGGCTAGCACTCTACCACTTTGAGCCATAATGCCACTTCACATTTTCTGGTGGTTAATTGGAGATAAGAGTCTCAGGGACTTTCCTGCTTAGACTGGTTTTGAGCCATGATCCTCAGATCTCAGATTCTTGAGCAGCTAGTATTACAGGCTTGAGCCACTGGTGCCCAGTTCTTGCTTTTCTTCTCTCTGGGGAGATTTTAGGAATTTTTTTCATGAACTTGGTGTTCTCAGACATCACGGTGATGTACACTGGTTTATATTTATGGATTGTTGGGTGTGTTAGACTTGTCACTGACAGGCAGTCACATCAACTGTCATCTCCTCTTTGTTCTTCTGTTTATGCTTAGCAAATTACATCTATTATTATTCCAGTGGAGTCTGGGGAACTATCACCTACAAATACCACAGTCAGAGCTTTATAAAAAAATCCTTATGAATTTTGGTTGGCAAAGTTTCATCGTGTGAGAATGTTAAAAGGGGTGACATTGATCAAGATGGCATTGTTTTCATAAACTGCTTTGTTGAATGACAGTTCCTTTATACAACTACTTAAGCATTATAAAAAAAGTTTCATTTTGCAATAGTGAACTATGATGTAATTTTAGTGCATTATTAATCCATTTGAATCAGTTTCTTGTGAAATGATATATTTTCATTTGAATAAAACTTTAGATCAGGGGAAGTTAAAATCTACTCTACAGAGTTACTAATGTTTTTATGTTATTATTACCACATAGTAATTATTCACATGAATACCTTCTCTAATTTTTTCAAAACTGTTTTTTTGCCAGGCATTGGTGGCTCATTCCTGTAATCCTTGTTACTCAGGAGGCTGAGGTCTGAGGATTATGGTTCAGAGTCAGCTCAGCGAGATAAATCCAAGTTACTTACCTCCATGTGGCTAGCAAGAAGCTGTAAGTGGAGCTGTGGCTCAAGTGGTCAGATGTTAGATTTGAACAAAAAATCCAAGCAATAGTACAAGGTGCAGAGTTCAAGCCACAGTAGCTGTGTGCGCACGCATGCACGCACGCGCACAACACGCACACCCACACACAGTGTTCTTATCTGCCTAGTTTATTTGTTTGCCATGATTTTCTTGCTTATCCAAATGAAAGTATTGGCTAGGCTACAATGGCTACAATGAAGCTATGTAACACATATGAATTAATTCCTAGGTTCTTCCTACTAGTAAGAGCAGCCAGATGATCACATTCACCTTTGTTAATGGATGTGTGGCCACAATGAGGACCAGTGGGACAGAGCCCAAGATCAAGTATTACGCGGAGCTGTGTGCCCCACCAGGTAACAGGTATGTTGGCAGCCACTGGTGAAGGTTTTATTCCCTGGGCCTCCTAGTTGGTTCTGTTCAAGTACTAGGTAAAAGTGCACATCTTTCCAATGTATAGTTTAATTAAACTGTGGCTACCTTGTGGTACAAACAATGCTTGAACATCCAGAGATACACATGCTTGTCTTTTTTTTCTCTCTCTCTTTTTATTTCTTTTTAGCACTCTTACTGCTTGCTTACTTCCCTCCTACCTTTCTTTTTATGGGAAAGTTACATTTCTAATATCAGTAATAAAAACAAACTATTTAACAACTGGTACCATAGAGTTATTATTATTATTAACCTGTGGCATTATTCTTATCCTGTGGTCTGCCCAAGTCTCTGATAAAATCTGTTCCAATTCAATAAAGATCTTTGAGTACCTGTATAGGTGTGAGCCTTTAGCCAGGAAGGATAAAGAACCATATCAGAAGGAGTCTTTGCTGTTACAGAGATGGGGAGTTTTTTAGCTTCAGGTTCAAAAAGCCTGAGTTGCTCACCTTCCAGCCATGGTACCATTTTGAACTTTCATGCATAAAATGGTACATGTCCTTGCATGTGAAAATTTGACCTGGCATAAATATGTAGTGTGCAGTGCCCTTCTCCATTCTAAAGAGAAGTAACAGTGTTTCAAAGGTGAGTTAAGTCAGAGCTATCCCGGAGGAAGTAAATCCAAGCTGTAGATGCAATTAAAATTTTTTTCTATTAGCTGGGCTCTGGTGACTTATATCTATAATCCTAGCTATTAAAGAGGCTAGGATCTTCAAGATAACCAGCAAAATGCCAGGCTGCAGGCATGACTAAAGTGGTAGAGCACCAACAGAACAAGCAAGCTGAGTGAGCATGAGGCCCTTAGATCAAACCTCAGTAATGATGGGGGAAAATCCACTAACTCTATTTTATATATTTATTTATTACTAACCACATATTAACAGTGAAAAGGTGCAAGTGAAGTTAATATAAATAATATTTAGCTTAATATAGCAAAATCTTATCATTACAACAATATAATCCCTGGGAAAATTACTGAGTTTTTTTGGTTTTTAAACTGTACTTAAAAAAAAAAATCTTTCCTTTATTGCTACTGGGGATCAAACCCAGGATGCTGCACTTGCTAGGCAAGCACTTTGCCACTGAGCTTCATCCCAGCCCCATTTGGTTACTTTTTAAAGAAAAAAAAAAAAACAACAAAACAAGACCTATAAGACTGCCTGGAGGCAGGCCATAAGCTTGCAGCATGTTGAAATTTGGATGACAGATTTTTACTGGAACACTTGACCTCTTTTTATATTTTACAAATGTTATAGTAGATAAAGTAGATTTTGATACCAGATTTATTTCAATAACTGAATTAAATGTCTCTTTTTTAAAATTAATTTGGATTTTAGAGGGCAAAATATCAGCCATAAAGCCAACATATAAAAGCAGTTCATTTTCTGTGAATTCTAAATTGTCAATAATTTATTAAAAAATAATATGCTTTTATCAGTATTTCTGTATGGGTAAATAATAAGCTACTGACAGGCACTGGTGGCTTACACCTAGCTAGTCAGGAGGCTGAGATCTGAGGATCATGATTTGATGCCAGCCCCGGCAAAAAGTTCATGAGACTCTTAACTCCAGTTAACCACCCAGAAAACTGGAAGTGGAGCTGTGGCTCAAGTAGTAGAGCACTAGCTTTGAGCACAAAAGTTCAGGGATAGTATCCAGGCCCTGAGTTCAAACTCCAGGACTGGCGACTGCACACAGACACACACAGACACACAGACACTACTTGTAGGGCTTAAACTTAGGCCCTGGGCACCGTCCCTGAGCAATTTCCATGCAGTGCTAGTGCTCTACCCCTTAGAGCCACGGTGCCACTTCTGGTTTTCTGGTAGTTAGTTAGAGACAAGAATCTCGTGGACTTCCCTACCAGGGCTGGCTTTGAACCGTGATCTCAGATCTCAGCCTCCTGAGTATCTAGGATTACAAGTGTGAGCCAATGGCACCCAGCTAATAAGCTACTTTATACCATATTAAATATCGCTTTCCATAGACATTTCTTTGTATTTCTCATCTTACTTAGTATTTTTACATTTCTATGCACCTTTTTTTTTTAACATTTGATTGTACTGGAGTTTGAACTTCAGGCATGGAGTCTATTAGGCTGGTGCAGTACTGCTGAGCCTTGCTTCCAGCCCTGTTCTACACTGGTAATTTTTAGGATGAGGGTTTCACTTCCCAGATGGACATTCACCTAGGGATGAACTGCCTGCTTTTAGACTTTCTGTTGTTGCTGGGTTCATAAGAACATGCTACTATGTCCACCTTCTTGTCTATGGAGATCAAGTCTTGCAGGCTTTTCTGCTCAGGCTGGCCTGGAACTTGGATTCTCCCAGTCACAGTCTCTCATGTTGCTTGGGAAGACAGACGGGCTGTATTGTTCCCAACTATGAGTTGAGAAGGGATCATGTGAACTTTTCTACTTGGGATGGTGAATTGTAATCTTCCCATTTGTAACCTCTCAAGTAGCTAGGGTTACACCATGAACCACCAGCACCTGGCCTGTATGCATTCTTTTTGTTTGTTTGTTTTAATCAAAGGACTTAGTGCAACTTAAAGATCTGTTTTCCCAGAATCTTCCTTCTCCTCCTCCTCCTCCTCCTCTTCTTTTTTGTCAGTAGTAGGGCTTAGACTCAGGGTCTGAGTGCTGTTCCTAAGCTCTTTTTGCTCAAGGCTAGCACTCATAGGGACTCTTCTGTCTAGGCTGGGTTGAACTGAGATCCTTAGATCTCAGCCTCCTAAGATTACAGGTGTGAACCACTGGTGCCTGGAATGTCTCTTCTTTTTTATTTAGTGTTTATGGCTCTATGCCATTATTTATTTGAGCTCTAGGGCTGAAGGTATGGCTCAAGTGATAAAACACTTACCTAGCAAGTTCAAAATTCTAGTTACAATTACTGGTGATGGGGGAAGAGGGACTCCTGAATCATATTAGTATTAGGATGGGGAATAGTAAGACATATTTCCATTTTAGGAATTATTACATTACTAAATCATGTGCAGTAGTACTGATCTTCTCTCCCATCATGTAAATGCATATAAATGCAATGTCAGAAACATTAAATCAGTAGACAGATATACCATGGCTAAAACCATACCAGATTAACAAATAATAGTTAACAGCAAATCCCCTGAGTTTCATTCTTAGGTTTTGTTTTTAAATATTGTTTTAAATAATTATTACTCTATTTACTTTCCTGAGAACTGTTATTTTCTTCATAGCATGTTTATAGAGAAGGAAAAGCAGCCAGTGTAATTCCTAATATTTATGAGACATTTTATACATATGTTGTCAGTAGGGATAAAATAATTACAATGCTAGGTACATTTATTCAGGTCGTTGGGCCAAGTTCTGTGCTAATTACTTTATATAATGTATCTCAATCTGAACAACAACTCTCTCAAGAGGGTAAAGTCTTTATTCCAATTTTACAAATGAAGAATCCAGACCTGAGAGGCTGAGGCTCCCTGCCCCAGGGCACATAGCTACTAGCACCTAGTGGAGGCACAATTAATGTCTATAAATCCATTACTTTCATTGTGCTAGTTAGCTCTTGTAATATAAAAACAAGCTCACATAATTACAGGTACTGTCATTTCCATTAAATGAGCTTTGCATATGAACTTTGCAGGTAGTTAAGAGTAAAGTATGAAACATTTTGTTTTTCAAATCCAGATATTTTTGTTTGAAACTTATAGTAACTCACCCTATGTTCCATAAGCTGCTGCAAACCAGCAGCATAACTGAGTGGATTGTTTGCCACATATAAATAAGGAGTTTCCATATTCCTTGCATACTTGATTCTTAGGTCAACTTCCCTATTTTTGTCTATACTTTAGTTATGACAGTTTTTGCTTGTTTCTTTTTCAAGATGAATTAAATTCCCAAGGGAAAATAGTCAGGGGGCATTTCCTGGTGTTTGATGGCTCAGACCTGCAAACAGATTGTCCCCTGATGGGATGGGTAGTCATTAGGGTCAGGCTTAGCCTAGGGGATTCAGAACTCAGGATGTCCTGGATAAAAGTACAGCAGGATTGGAATCAAGAAAGTTTTCTCTACACTAGTAGGTACATGCATTGGAAATCTAGAGATGCTAGGCCTAAAATCTAAAAATTCTAATGTGGCAGATGCTAGTGGCTCATGCCTGTAATCCTAGCTACTCAGGAGGGCAAGATCTGAAAATTACCATTCAAAGCCAGCCCAAGCAGGAGAGTCTCTGAGACATTTACCTCTCGTTAACCAGCAAATAGCTGGAAGTGGGGCTGCGTTTCTGGTGGTAGAACACTTAAGTGAAAAAGGGACAGCATCCAGGCCCTGAGTTCAAGCCCTAGCACCAGAGCGTGCATGTGTGCACGCACGGGCGCGCGCGCGCGTGCGCGCGCGCGCACACACACACACACACACACACTCTAATGCAAAGAATAAGAGGTAATTGGGGAAAACCTTTAAGGAAAATAAAATAATACCTTATTGGGACTTTTTTTCATCAGTTAACAGATATGTTTCCATGCATAAGTTACTGGAGTTCTGTTTTCTTATTAGGTCTTCCTCTTGGGGTTAGTGCACTTGGTCAATGGAGAGTGTTTGAAAGACATTAAGAATAATCCCTTGACCTGGATTCCCCCCTCTCATTTCCCAGTGATCCTGAGCAACTGAAGAAGGAACTGAATGACCTTGTTGATGCTATTGAAGAAAACTTTTTCCAGCCACAGAAGTATCATCTGCAGCCAAAGGCAGAGTGAAGGACTCTGGTCTGAATGGATTTACTTTTACCTCCAGTTAAGCAGAACTTGACTTTTTTAAGCAATATGTCTAAGGGCCAAGCAATTCAAATTATCACTCTTAAATATTTACATAGCTTATGGAGATACGTTTTCCTCCTTGTTTTATGTTTATTCTTTAAGAACTTGAGGAAAAGTAAGCAAACATCTTTATTAAAATGCTGCCATGAGCCGGCATCCTATGGTATAATTCTAGTGATTCAGAAGACTGAGATACAAGAAGGATCCATTTGAAGTCAGCCTGACAGGAAAGTCTGTAAGACTCCTATCTCCAGGAAACTACCAAAAAGCTGGAAGGGAAGCTATGGCTCAAGTGAACAGCATGAACCTTGAGTAAAAAAGCTAAGAGATAGGACCTGAATTCAAGCCCCAGTACACACACACACACACACACACACACACACACACACACACACACACACACACACACACACACACACACACACACACACACACACACACACACACACACACACACACACACACACACACACACACACTATTATACCTGGGCATTATCTGGATTTTTTTTTTTTTTTTGGTCCAGTCGTGGGGCCTGAACTCTGGGTCTGGGCGCTGTCCCTCAGCTCTTCAGCTCAAGGCTAGCACTCTACCACTTGAGCCACAGCACCACTTCCGGCTTTTTTTTTCTGCTTATGTGGTGCTGAGGAATCGAACCCAGGGCCTCATGCATGCAAGGCAAGCGCTCTACCACTGAGCCAACTTCCCAGTCCCTTATCTGGATTTTTTTAATGAAAAATTTTAAAATAACTTTCAAAAGAAGATTGTAATTAATGTCTTCATTTGCATAAATGTGTGTCTTCTGTGTAATTCTTTTGATATGCAATTGAAATAATCAGAAAGCCTATACAGTTATTAAGTTCTAGGCTGCCACTTTTAGGTATATTTGTAGTTTATGTTTCTATGACATTCTTATAATTAAAATAAATGAGTAGGTCAAATATTGTCTTCATGTTTGGGAAATATTCAATTCATAGGAACCTGTGAAGTAAAACAAAAGCAGTGTTAAAAGAGCTTTTCAATTTTGTTTTACATAAAACTCCGTTTTATATGGTTGCCAGTGAGTATTGCCTGTAAACCCCAGCTACTCAGGACACTGAGCTCTGAGGATCATGTTGTCAAGCCAACCCAGACAATGAACCCCTAAAAAGCCAGAAGTGGAGGTGTGGATCAAATGATATTGTGCCAGCCTTGAGTGGAAAAAACTAAGCGATAGCGCTTAGGTCCTGAGTTCAAGCTCCGGTAGTGTAGCTTTAGTTCTGTAGTAAAATTGAGTGAAGGGTTCAGAATTGGCCTGTGAACCCCTTTCCAGACACATAGGCTCCCCCATAGTCAACAGTTCCCACCCTAGGGTCCATTGTTTCTGTAGTGAAATGACACACATTATCACTTGAGGTGAAGACAGTGAGGAGACCTGGATGTAGAGCAGGCAGAGAGCAGGGCATGAATAGACAGAGCAGGACCAAGGGACAGTGAAACTCCTGTTCTGTCGGCTATGGTGGTAGTAGACATGTGTCAGTCCACAGTTATACCCCATGGACCGCATCCTAACATAAACTATGAGTTTGGGGTGATAATTTTGTCATTTTTCCAAATGAAGAAATTCTACTGCATAGTCTCTGAAGTTATTTCTTTCTGGAGGTCTTTAAAGTATGTCAAAATCTATACAGGGCAACTGGGAATTCTCCCTGGTATAATGCTTAGCTAGTTCTCTCCTAAGACTTAACATCTCAGATAAAGGAAAAATACTTCATACCAAAGAGGAGAGCTTTGAGCTCACAGCCTGCCTGGCATGGCCACCTGAAGGAGAAGTGGTTGCGAGTGTGCTAGAATTGAGGACAAGACAGACCTGCAAAGCAGGCAGAGGCTGGGAGAAGGCTCTCAGGAGCAAAACAGTGGCCACTGGCCGTGATCAGGGCTGAGAGCTGTCACAGCTGCCTGACTGCATCCTAATGGCTTTCCCTGCCTGGGAAGATAATCCAATTTAAATGCACAGGTGGCCGTCCCTTTTTTTTTTTTTTTTGTTACCTAAAAAGAACACATCCCAAATTAAGTCTTAGAGACTGACTGGAGGGAGGAAAGGCAGGTTAATTGTTTTACTTTCTTCTTGGTGGTCTCTGAATTAACAGCTTGTTCCTCTTTCCTGTAAGTATCATTGGGGTGCCTCTCATTTATCTTTCTATTGACTTATCAAATCACTCATGGAACTATTCAGGGACAATATTGCTTCGTTGGCATTAGAAAATCAACTGGGTTTAAAAAATAAATGCTTCATCCAGACACTGGTGGCACACACCTGTAATCCCAGCTACTGAGGAGACTGAGAGCTGAGGGTCTCAATTCAAAGCCAGCCTACCAAAATGCCACCAAAATGCCAGAAGGAGAGGTTTGAGGTAGAGCATCAGCCTTGAGTGAAAAGGCCAAGAAAGAGCTTGAGTCCCTGAGTTCCAGCCCCAGTACCATCATATATAGATAAGTAGATATGTAGGTAGGTAGGTAGGGATGATAGCTAGATAGATAGATACTATGTCCTACTTTGAAGAGAGTTTTGAAGGCTAGCATCAACATGTTTATATGATTTCTGAGTACTAAAAGCATTCTCAGAGTTGTGTTTTCATTCACATCAGTGGTACAGGAGTCCTGTACCCTGCTGGTCATGTGTAAATCTGGACACTGATGAACATGCAGCCTCATCTCAAATATATTGTTGCAAGAGAAATACCCACTTGATATCCACATAGTGTGCAGACATGGAATAGGAAGGCATTTTTAGTGTGACAGGAAGTTTGGGTGTGCCTCCTTCTGAACTCTCTTCAAAAAACTGTCAAGTTCACACTCCTAACATTTGTGTTTAAAAATGACGTCAGGATACTATTTACATGTCATTTCCCCCACAGATTTCCCTTGTTCCATTCTTCCCACCAGATGATTTATTTATGTAGAGTTATTCAGTTGTTCAAAGCAAGACATCACAGACTGGTGTGGTGACTCATTCATGCCTGTAATTCCAGCCTCTCAGAATGTGGAGACCAAGAGGATGGAGATTCAAGGCCAGCACAGGCAAAAGAAAAATAAGATTCCCTTCTCAACAAAAAAAAGCCAGGCTTTGGTAGGGCATATCTGTAATCCTAGCAACACAGGAGACTGTAGAAAGGACTATCTCAACCCAGATCAACTCCAGGCAAAACCAGGAGACTGTAATTGAAAAATAACTAAGACAATAAGGGCTGGAGGCCTGGCTCAAGTGGTAGAGCACCTGTTTGACAATGGAGAGATCCTGAGTTCAAACCCTAGTACTTTCTGAAAGAAAAGACATCACATTCATAGGTAGATGAGAATCAAACTTTAAAACACTATTAGCCAACTGTAGCCTGTAATCCTAGCTACTCAGAAGGCTGAGGTCTGAGGATTGAGGTTCAAAGCCAGCCTAGGCAGGAAAGTCTGTGAGATTCTTTTTTTTTTTTTTTTTTTAATTTTATTTTATTTTATTTGAGAACATACTGTACAGAGGGGTTACAATTACATGGTCAGGATAATGCATACATTTCTTACCAAGCATTGCAGCCTCCTCCTTTGTTTACCCTTCACCTCCCTTCCCAGCCTCCCCCCTCCCCCCCACCCAATCATACGTCTGTGAGATTCTTATCTCCAGTTAACCTAGAAAAAGTCAGAAGTGGAGCTGTGTCTCAGGTGGTAGAGTGCCAGTCTCATGAGAACAAGCTCAGGAATAGCATGCAGGGCCTAAGTTCAGCTCCACCACTAGCACAAAATAAATCATTTTTATAGATGGAATCATTTTCTACATGGAAGCAGAGTATTTTGAGTTCTGGGATTAATTGAAGGAGAAGGAAAACTGGAGAGACGAGGCACTTCATAATCACCGCCATGGTCGTGGTCAGGAGGATATAGAACAGTGTTCAGGAATCTGGACTTTTTTTTTTCCATTTGACTCCAGCTGCCTCCTTGGATGCAATGAAGCCACTTGTTTGGCCCAAAATCTGGTGCAGAATAGAGTTGGGCACACAGAGTGAAAAGTCAGCTCCAGGTCTAAACTAGCTGTTGAAAACCTTTCAAAATTGTTTTGTGCAACTTCCAAAGGGAAGTTAGGGTTGCAAGTTACAGACATAGCAGAACCTGCTTCATTCTTTAAAATGCATTGTTCTTGGGCTGGGAAGGTGGCTCAGTGGTAGAGCGCTTGCCTGGCATGCATGAGGCCCTGGGTTCGATTCCTCAGCACCACATAAGCAAAAAAGAAAAAAGCCGGAAGTGGTGCTGTGGCTCAAGTGGTAGAGTGCTAGCCTTGAACTGAATAGCTGAGGGACAGCGCCCAATGACCGAACCCCCCCCCCCCCAAAAAAAATGCGTTGTTCTCAACTTTGTGGCACTCATTGGAAGAACAGTTTTTTAAGGAACACACTCCTAGGTGTAAGAGTGAAATGTTGTTCCCTATCAGGTTCAGTGTTCCTGTGGTTTATTAATAAAGAAATGTGAGCTGTCAGTCAGGCACTGGTGGTTCACAGCTGTAATCCCAGCTACTCAGGAGGCTGAGATCTGAGATCTGAAGTTCAGAGCTAACCTGGAGAGAAAAGTCCATGAGATTTATATCTTCAGTTAACCAGCAAAAAGGTAGAAGTGGAAGTACGGTTCAGTGCTAGAGCTCCAGCCTTGAGGGAAAAAAACAAATTCAAAAAGGCCCTGAGTTTAAGCCCCACTCCGTGCCCGTGTGTGCACGCGCATGCGCACACACACACAAAAGGAGAAGCTATAGAAGCAGAGGCTACTTCTTCCAGACTTCCTTTATTTCCCGTCCAACCCTCAGCGGCTCACTCCCTATGTTATATTGATCTCTGGCCTCTAAAAGCTTCTGAATCTGAGGGCTGGAGTTGTTTCATGCTAGACTTCCATAGCAAGTTCCCCAACTCCTACCCAGATGTTCTCCTATTGCATTGAATGTAGCCTGTCCCCAAACTACCTTTAGTCACATCTGTCCAGATCCTTCCATGATGACAGCATCTGACTCCCCTGTCTTTTCCTTATTGTGAGAATTTACTCTTGTTTATTCTTGTTAGAATCTAGAAGTTTTACAAAGAATAGTGCACACCATACCCACAATAGTGTCCAACCATAGCAATACCTCAGTTCATGACCAATCTTGTTACCTATATTTTTCTCGTTACCTTTCATTCTGAAGCAAGACCCAGACCAGTGACTCTTACTGTAGCTATTTTATTTTTTATTGTGAAGATAA